TGTGTGTGTGTGTGTGTGTGTGTGTGTGTGTGCGTTCGTCCGTCCGCGTATTTCAACTCGGCATCCAGGCAAGTTCCAGCGCCAAGATTTTGCTAATGGTTTCCCCAGTTTCCCCGGCCAAGTGCCACCCCAGAACCGTCGTACCAATCCGTACGCAAGTATGGGCCCCGCATGCGAGAGGGTGGAGGTTTTGGCGGAAAATTGATAACTCGGGAACGGCAAAAGATAGAATGTTGAAATTATGTTATGTTCCCGGTCCAAATATAACTCAAAGATTTCAAATTCAGCCCTCAAGTGCACCACCTAGCGTGTTCCAGTTTGGGTTTTTCATTTAGGAATGGAGTTAGAAAGTCAGCGCGGATTCAGTACGAAGGCCCAATCCACAACTGAGACTTGTGTCATCAACGAAACCTTCCGCACTTCCAACTGACTATGCCCCAAATAACAGGGTAAGCAATCCCATATTCAAATAAGCGTTCAGGAATAAGCAATAACCTCCCAATTTTTGTCTCCGTTACTAGCAGCGGTAAAAATTGCCATTCGTCTTCTTTTAAAAGATGTGGCTTTACTTTATAATAATCAACTTTTCTTAAGCTCTTTTTGCGGGTAGATTCGAAATTGCTTTTTTATAGTGTATCCACCCTGAAAACGAACAACTACTTGTCAGGACTTGGATTAGAGCTGCAAAGAGACTAAGTTTTCTCATATTGTCGCCTGTGATTCGTTTCTGAAAGTAGAACCACAGCACATTCATTGTTCCTTTTCAGAGATTCGAGCAATCGAATATGACAAAAACTTCTCCAGCAAAATCAAAACCAAATGATGCATTCATACATCCTGATACAACTATCAAAAACCAACTTGCTGTGAAGCCGCATCCAACGCTGCAAGAGAAAAAATCCGCTCCGGAACAGCGAAAACTGGAAGTTTTACCCGTTACTAACACTGCAAAGGGCCCGAAGAAGGAAAGAAAACTGATCGGTCTTATTGCGTATGGAATTTACCGCAGTCGTTCCTACTACTCGACGTTCGAACGAATCTTCCGCCGTTACAATGATTATGATGATTACCTCGTAAAAATTTACAAGGACGACGATTACGTTATCCTAACAAAGTTTATGCAGTTGGATCGGCCCTTTGATATGGTAGCATCGGCTCCGCCTGGCAGCAATGTGCTGATTGTGAATCATAAGCATTTCGATGGAGGCGAAGATCTCGTGGACATGATAAGTATACAGCAGTTGCGTGCTCATACGAAAAAGCTTTGGTTTGAGAACGAAAATGCTGCGAGTATTTTGTCGCTGATCCAAAGCTGGTGCGACTATCCCGCCAAAAAACTTAAGCTTAGTTTAAAGTTAAGTTTCACTTTTGATGGGTTTTAGCAATATAAGCATGTCATCCGAGCTATTTTTTCCGTGCACTGTGAAAAAAACTGGTTGAATATGATTAAATGATAACTTCAGTTGTTTCACGCAATGTATAAGCAACTAAATATTTCGATGTTAACCGTTTCGGATGTTAACTGATCTGAACCACGTTAGCGCTGCGTTAAAACTACTAGTATTTATATAAATCGCGGAAAACTTGGTGATCGTCGGGATGAGAAATATTTGAACTAATATCCATCTAGGAAATAATACAGCTCAAACTCAATAATGAACATAGCTCGATAATTCACTTTTGCGCTTTACTGCTCGCTGCAGCACAGGTTTTACAATTACTACACTGGTAGGGCGTCAGTTTCAGTTAGATATATCATTTTCGAGAAAAGTATTAGTTCGTTTGTTGGGTTTTATGCGTTTCGCGAACTATTAAAGAAGATAGAAAAAGCATGTCGTCGACATTCTTTCTGTAGGCCCGCTGTTTTTTCAAATATTTTTTTTTTCGGTTTTTCACATTAGTAGCTACGAACGTTAGGAGCAGAATGTTTTTTTTTT